ACTGAGAAGATTTAATCTTCTACCCATTTCTATGATGAGATAATGTTACCTACAATGATGATTAGACTAAGCTATGCTTTTAATGACTCTTATACCTTAAAAATTTAAGTAGGGTATGGTAGGATACTCTTAATAAGAAGTCACCTATATGAGTGTGAAGTGGGGCCGCTTCTAAAAGAACTTCTAAGGCTAAGTTTTCTAGAGCACTCATGAAATACCAGGAGTTGTTCAGGTGAGAACCGACTTTATGTGGAAGGGAACTGTGTGTTTGCTATTATCTTGGTTTACATCAACGGCTGAATAGTTCAAGACATCATGTTCACTTGTTAGCTAGTAAATCCAATAATAATACACTAGGGAAGGTTCGAGGCCAAAAGCTACCTATCCTGATGCAGTAACTTTTCAATAGTACACTCGCTAGTGTCTGCATTTTCATCATTTGCAACTGACGCTAATTTCCATTCCTGCGGGGGATTATAGGAAATGGCACATACAAAACATAAACTTTGGATGAAATTTGGAGTAGATTCCGCTAAGAATTTTTGCGGATTTATAGACGAGCGCGTTACTCTCCGCAAGGAGAAGAACGTAGTATATTTATTTACTCAAATCCGTTTTCGGGTGAATGAGAAATTAGCTCCAAAGTTAGGTGTTTGATAAGCCTAAATGGGTATGCAAAATGTAGGAAGTGCCTGTCCCACATGGAAAAAATGATAAAACCAATTAAAGTTTAAATAAGCCAAGTTTGGGATTTAGGTTTGGCCCCAAGGGCACCCAAGTTTTTAAGAGGCCAAGGAAAGACCTAGGCAAACTTGGGTCCAAACCATTTACCACACACGTGCGCGGACCCCTTACCCGACCTGACCTGGTCTAGGCTTAGGCTTGGGCTTGATTTTAAAGTGTGATTAATTTTTTACTAAACGAAATTGGGCCTTTATTTTCGAGCTGGGCATATTTAAATGGGTGGTTAGTTTTTGAATTTAAATTAAAAGTTAGTTTTTTTCCAAAGGGTTGCATCTATTTCCAAAGGGTTGCATCTGTTTTCCAAAGAGTTACATCTGTTTCCAAAGGGTACAACTGGTACTGAACCAAAATGATCCATAGTTGCACACATACCTGAAAATGAACTTTGCTTCATATAAATACGCTCATTTGGGGTCATTTGCAATACACATTATTCGGAAATAATTCTTCTCCTTTTTGAATTAACTTCTTCCTTTCTCTTCTTCTGTAAGTACCTATAGGTTCGAGCCTTAGTCTTTGGGTTCGAGCCTTAGTTAGTAAGTTTGAGTTCGAGTTTGAGTCAAAGAATACTACACCGAGCCGATTCACCTATTCCTTTGGTTTGCAGTGCTACTACCGAAGGAAGTAAAGTCATGGTATCCTGGGAGATAGACGCCACTGAGTCCGTTAGTACTGTAGCGGGGTAAATCTATCTTAAGGATAGAAAATCAAATTCTAGCCTCGACTTTTAATCAGGTTCATTTATTTTATAGGTTGTATTTTATTATATTAAACTATATATTATAAGAAATTTTTTTTTTCCCTAAATGAAGAAATTTTTTATAAATAAAGCAATATAGTACAAAGCATTAAGTGAGGAAAAACCTCACTCAAACAAAATCAAGATAATAGAAACAAACTCATATTCTCCTAAATCAAGTAAGCATATCTTGAAGACACATTCCAACAACATCTAAGACATCCCACACAATACTTTTAACAAGATTGGAGGGAGATCTCAAAATATCTCTATGAAGCCTGCCATTTCTCTCATTCCACAAGTAATACTTAGTAGCTAAGAAAACCATCCTAGAAATCTTGTTCCTCACAAACTTCACTTTAAAAAGCTGTACCAAGACAACAGCAAAGTTGTGATACCCTTCGATTCTAGAGCCACGAGTGATCAAGTCCGAGCACAGATCCGAGGGATACCAACTGTCAATATGTAAACAAGCAAGAATAAAACTGAATTAAGAATAAAATAATAATGCGCTGAAAGAAAACTAGAATAAAACTCCTCAAATTTTAAATAATAAATTAAACCCATTTAAATCCTTCCAATCTGTACAACTCGGGAATCCATATAGTGGACCCCTAATAATCCTAAACGATACATAAGATTACAGAATTTAAATCCAAAACTAAAATAAGAAAGAAAATCCTATGTAGTCGGAAGAGTGAGTGTCTGTATTTGCATCAACATAATCAAGCTTTACGCCTGGTACTGATGAGCACCTGAAAATAGGAGTGGGTCAGGCCCACATGCAAGTTCCATTCTACCACAATCCGTACATAAACCCAATACGCAGATACATCCTAGATTGTTCAGCAATATCTAAAATAGTCCATATAGATATAGATACACACTATAGGATATTCATTAACCTATAGTCATCACACCTGAGTAGAAGGTAACACGTAAAATGCCGTAGCGTAGTCATGCACACCTAGACCTACCACGGAATGTCATTAGGTTCAGTTATCCATCCAAGCGATATACGCACCCTAACCATGATCAGGAGACTCAAGCTCGTACCACGGTACCATAAGTATATATATAAATTCCTTCCTAGTGCAGAAAAAATAAAATAAATATCCATTATGTCGTTCAACTATTTTAGTTGACAAGACATGCTTCCATGTAAGATTTAACTGTTTTAGTTAATCCATTCCGTATGTATGAATAGGTAGGGATTAGCGTTTTGATCTAATCCGTCCCTCCGTATGCCACCGTCCCATATCGGTGCATATCATGTAAATGATCCGTAACTGATGCAACATTTTAAGTAGTTCATCAAATCAAGTCCACGTAATCCAAATAGTTGATAAATACAGATTTAAGCAGTTCATCAACTAGAAATCCAGAGTCCATCTACGTAACTAATGAGACAAAGTTTAATAGTTCATCAAGCTTAAATCCAGTATCCATCCAGGTAATTGAAAGAAAATATACCTAATTAATTCGTCAATTAATTACAGGCCAACATCCAATTAGATTAACAGAACCTAAGTATTGGTTCAACAATTTAGATCCAAATCAATAACACCAGTGTTTGCAGAATAGTGCTTAATATTACTGTAATTACATCCCAGCTTAAATCCATGTATTGCATAACAGAAATAGCATTTGAACAATTTAAACCCATGGTATGCATAGAGCAACTTGATAAATAAACTACCCTAACATGCAACCAAAACAAGATTTATAAATATATATATATATATATATATATATATATATATATATATATTCCGTTAAATTGCTAAACTTAAATTAAACAATTAAACTTCTTCCATCGGTTAACAGCCTGCACTGATGTATACCTTCATACGGTTAAATCCATGAGTACTAAGACACTAATTTATTATGAGTGGCTCTAATATAACATGGTAATATTATTTGGAATCCATGTTCCAACCCTTTTTAATTTCTAGATACAGTTTGCACAATTAAATCCTTCCGGTCCGTTAAGTCCGTAAACAACCTGCGACTTGCTTTAGATTTTCCTACGGTTTAAAACATTAGCATATAAATAAATTAAAGCATCCTAAGGCTTTAAGATTCCATGAATTAATGTTTAAAACCATCACATTAACCTAAACACAGTGGAGGAAAAACACAGTTTGAACCAAATAAGGCGTACACAGCTCCAGAACATCACAAGATTGCAGAGCCTACTCTTAAAACCATAGAACAGGCTCTTAGCAGCCTAGAGCCTACTCTCCCACAAGGGGATCTGGCTCTCCTTGCCCTAGAGCCGGCTCTCTCCTTGGGAGAGCCGGCTCTCCCCCTTTTGAGAGTCTTCTCTGCTCTAGACTTCTTCTCTGCTTCGTCCGGTTGCCTTCTGTGTTTCCGGTGAAGTCCAGTGTCTTATTCCAGAACTTTTTAAGATTATTGGGGTTTAATTATAGTTCTTACATCCCTAGAGACTCCTCCTATTCTAGTGTGAACCGATTGACAAAAAGCTAAAACAACACACAACAGTTTATGCAAGAAAAACCAACTTCAGTTTAACTAAGCATACGAACAGTTTAAAGTCTAAAACATGTATGAACATTCCATTTTAAAGTTTTTAGTGTTAAATTATAGTCCAAACCATCCTAGAAACTCCTTGGATTCCCTTACGAATTAATTTACAGAAGTTTAAAACCATAATCAACACAGTTTTATGCAAGAACCAAACCATAAACAGATTACAATCTGATACATTATGCGTCAACCATTAATTTTAAAAGTTGAATTAGTCCCTGGAGACTATAAAGAATGCATAGAAGACAGGTTTATAAGAAGGAGAGAATGAAACTTGCCTTTAGGTTTCGGTTTGAAACCTTACAAAGCCGTCTATGGAGTTTTCGACAAACGGGTGACTACCGGCCACCTTCCTACTGCTCAGTTCTATCTCACAGTAAACCCTTCCTTCCTCCTTGACATGAGCTTCCATCCATGGTTGGAAACCTCTCCCTGTTTCCCTTCATATTTTTCCCCTCACCTCTCTCTATTTTCTAATACGTGAATAAGGTGTCTCACCACAAACCCTTGCCGACATATAATGTTCCATATATATATAAACCTATGAACAACCCTAATCCTAATCCAGTCTAACGATCTATCGGCTAATCTAATTTCATAAATTAAAACCCTAAGCTAAATATACAAACCTAATGTAACACACGTTAACTAACACCAACAAATCAAACAATTAAATTTAATCACAATTAAACGATTAAATAAAACAAATAAAAATTACAATTAACCAATTAATTAACAAAAAAATAATTACAACTAACCAAATAAATAAAACAAATAAATAAGTAATTTAAAACAAACACAAATTATCAATTAAGAAAACACATAAGTCACGTAAGCCATAAAAATACAGTAAAAATTAATATTAAATTCCCATTTTATCCTTTTGAAAACTAGGGGTATTACAAAAGTCCCCACAATTTATCTTCTGAACCCTCCAATTAAGCATACCATTTAATTCACTCCATACCTGCCAAGAATAACTACAATAGATAAAAACATGATCAACTGATTCCTCATTATTTTCATACAAACAACATCTAGAAGCAAGAGAAATTCCCCTTCTCTGTAAGTTATCCCAGTTAGAACTGTATTTTATAAAATTAATGCAGAAAACACTGACCATCTCGGCCTACCACCATTCCAAACCAAGAAAAACCAAGGGACATGTGGTGTAGGAGTTCTGCAAGCCTCCCACACAGCTTTATATGTAAACTCCTTATGCTACCACAAAATCTGATCACACCTTCCATAAATACTGAACTGGTGAAAGAAATTTTGAACCTCCAAAGATATGTCAATATGCTACCACTGATTCTGAACTGTACAAGTGCATAAGTCACTTTGCTTGTTGGTCGAAATACTTCTCAAAGTCCTGAAATTAAAAGTTTTTGACAAGAAATGTCCATCACACTATGGATCCAAAAATAACTTCAGCTTCTGTCCATTACCTATATGAAATTTGCAATTGTTTTTCAGTATTTCGCTAACTGAAATAATGCTTTTCCAAATGGCTGAATGAGCCTCTCGAGGCTCTACCAACCAGAAATTTGAATGATTAATATAACAGTGCTTATACCAAGCAACCCACAACCTGTCCTTGGATAAAAGAAAATCCCAAACTAAGGCACATTTAGCCGCCTTATCAATATCCACAAGTTTTCTTAATCCCATACCTCCCTCTTGTTTAGGAGCAGTGATTTTCTTCCAACATAATCCATATAACTTAACAGTGCTATCCTCATGCCCCCAAACAAAATTTATCATCCGTCTCTTAAGAACATTAATGACAGTAGATGGTAATATGAAAACAGATGCCTAATAGTGGACCATAAGGGTAACAACAGATCTAATAAACTCGGCCATACCTATAATAGAGAGATTTAAACCAACTCATCTAGTGGTGGCAGCCATTACTTTATCTAACAGAGGCTTGCAATCAATCCTCTTCAGTCCTTTATTAGATATAGGTAAACCTAAAAAAGTGAAAGGAAGAGTGCCCTGCTTACAACAAAGAACTCTTAAAATGTTAGCTTTCCTTTTGACAGAAGAAGTAAAAAAGACTGCTGACTTATCTTTATTCACAAACAAACCAAAAGAGTCCTCAAAATTCTGCATTATTCTTCTAAGAGTTAACACTGAAGCCATGTTAGCCTTAACCACCACAAGCAAATCATCAGCAAAAAATTGGTCAGAAACTATGAGATTTGATTTCCTAGCTGCATCAGAAATGACCAAATTCCCTCTTCTACACTCATTCTCAAACATAGAGAAAATATATTATGTGATAAGGGTAAATAGCAAAGGGGACAGTGGACACCCTTGTTTAATACCTCTAGATGGTTGGAAAAAGCCACAAAGGCTTCCATTGACAAGAATAGAGAACCAAACAGATGTAATACATGCCTTAATCCAACCTGTCCACCTATCACCAAAACCAAACAATTTTAACAAAAAATTTAAACTAACTAAATCATAAGCTTTCTTGAGGTCCACCTTCCAGGCCAATGTAGGTTTAGTATGCTTGGAACCAAACCTTTCAGTAACTCACTGGCAAGAATCAAATTATCTTGAATTTTCATTCCAACAACAAAAGCATTTTGCTCTTTTCCCACGATTTTGTGTAAAACTGATCCAAGCCTATCAGCCAAAATTTTGGTTATAATCTTGTATAGTACATTACATAGAGAAATAGGTATGAATTCCTCTACCTTAGTAGCCTCCTTAACCTTGGGAACCAATGTAATGAAGGTACTATTCAACCCTTTGCCTAAAGTAGGATAGTTAAAAAACTTCATCACTGCATTTGCAACCTCAACTCTAATGATATCCCAGTAAACTCTAAAAAAATGAACTGTAAAACCATATGGTCCAAGGGCTTTGTCTATTCCCATACTGAAAATAGTCCTTTTAACTTCCTCCCTAGTAATTAGAACTTCAAGAACTGCAGCATCTTCACAATTAAGAGTTTTCCTTAAATAAACTGCTAAGGGAATACTGGTTTGGCCTTTAGAAGAAAACAGCTCAATATAGTACTAGAGCAGTAAATCATTAACCCCATTAGCATCATGGATCATGTTGCCTACATTATTTTCCAGTCTTGTAATATTATTGTGTACCCTACGATCCTTAATTTTCTGATAAAAATATTTAGAGCATCTGTCCTGCTCTTTAGTCCACTTCAATCTAGATTTTTGAGATAAGAGGATTGCTTCATTTGATAAAGTAGATTCATAACCTTGTCTAGCATCAACCTCCCTTTGAATACTGTCCTCACACAAAGGATTGGAAGATAAAGCAATTTGACTATTTTCAAGCTCAACCATTGCTGCCAAAAGATGTTAAAAAACATAACCAAATTTAGTTTTGTTCCACTCCTTCACTACCTTTTTCACCTCCTTGAGCTTCTTTAAAACTTTAACAACAGGGTCTCCTGAGACTGTAATACTCCAAGCCTTTTCCACAACCTATCTAACAATAGGTTCTTCATTCCTTAACCTTAAGAATCTGAAAGGTTTAGGTCCAGTAGCAATCTAGAATGGGCATTTGACAGATATCCCCCAATGATCAGAGAGGAAAGAAGTTGTTAATTCAATTTGAGAAGATGGGAAAACATTGTACCATTCTTCATTCATCAAACCATGGTCCAACTGAACATAAATCCTCTTAGCAACCCTTCTATTATTGCACCAAGTATAACTTCCATTAATAACAGGTATATCAGTGAGAGCTAAACTGTTAATAACTTCATTAAATTCTTTGAGCACCCTTATTGGCACATTGTTTCCTCCCAATTTTTCATTGTTACTTCGAACCACATTCCAATCCCTAATAGAATCCATGCCCTAGTGATAGTATTGGCTATATCAACCAAACACCTCCACAAATCTCTCATTTCCTCCACAGTATTCTCACCATAAACACAACTGATCCAAAACCAACTGTCAGAGCAAATAATCCTAGCCTTCAGCAAGATAACTTGAGCTTTAACTTCCACAATCTGTATATCAATCACCAATGGATCCCAACCACACCAAATCCTACCACCATCCACTACATCATAATTATTGCACCAATGCCAATTTTGCTTTATCCTTGTACTTATTCTATCAAACTTAGCTTTTTGAACTCTAGTTTCCATTAAGCAAACAAGAGACAAAGAAAATATATATATAGATTATTATTTTATAATAATAATAATTATTATTATTATTATATATATATATATATATACATTATATTTTTAGATAATATTTAAATAAATAATACTATAGTATATGGTATAGTTATACCACATATTTTTGAACAATACTCAACAGCATTATTTTTAATCAATCGCCTCCCTTCTCCAGTGACCAAACCTAAATCTCCATATGAGATATTGTTTTACAAAGTTCCTAATTACTAATTCTTAAATGTTTTTGGTTATGCGTGTTGGCCTCATTTACGGCAATATAACACATACAAACTTTATTTTTAATCTCAACTGTGTGTCTTTATAGGCTATAACTTCCAACACATGCAAAGGTTATCGTTGCCTTCATGTTCCTTCAGGTCGTGTATATATTTCACAAATTGTTATTTTTGATGAGAATATATTTCCGTTTTATGATCCATCTTTACCTACAGTATCGACCTCTTCTCAGCACGTGACTTAGCCTTCTAATATTCAACTTTTGCCTTCTTCACTTATCACGGGTTTTTCACCTATAAGGTCTCCTCCAAACTCATCAGATGCATCCATTGTCTCTCGGTCCCTGTCTGCTTCAATATTGCCTACTGTAGAGCCCTCCACCATGCCTCTGTGAGTCGTACGCAGTGGAATGTATTAAGGAAAGTATTAGATTTTGTAAAACAGATCAGTGTCGTTACTAACTTTACTTATTGTAGCAATTAAACAGTTAATCACATGTAGATAAAATAAAGCAAAGTATAAAGTTGGGGATGACACCAGGAATTTAGCGAGGAAACCCCAGTTGATAAAATACGTCAACTGTTATAGGAAAAACCTCGTGGACTATGCAGTCCAAATTAAACCAATCCACTATGCTTGAAACAAAGTATATTGAACTTTGACTTTGGCTTACACCATATCATTCTACCTAACACCAACTGCTGACGATCCTCTGGCTTTGTGACTCCCCGTCCAACAGCAACTTGACCTCAGGCTTACACTCGATATTCATAGAAGAGTATTAGGTAGATCAGACAGCACTCCACGAATGCTCCAACCCTTTCAAAGTGTGATTGCATTTATTTATGTTCTTCAATCGTCGAAATGATGTAGAAGAAAATCTGCTTCGTCTGATCAAAGTTAATACAACTGTATGATCACGATCAGGATTTGAACACCACAATTCTAAACTCACTATATGATTAAGTGTATGTGTTCTAGAAAGATATCAGAAAAATCAACTCTTATTTTCTGCAAAAATAATCTTCCTAAGGTTTTGAATAAAATCTGAATAATAATGTAAAATTCGTAAATAAACCAATGTATATGACATGGTTTATATAGAGCTTAGACTGACCTAATCCTTTTGAAAATAAGGTAAAATTTGTGCATAGGATTTGGTACTATTCTAGACCAACTGGGAAACAATTCAGAATAAGGAAACTGAAGTTGTATTGCAAATAGGACATCTTGAACCGGTTCAAAGACGCTGAACCGGTTCAAGTTTGGCAGAGAATTTTTGAAGCTAAACTTAAGCATCTTGAACCGGTTCAAAGGGGCTGAACTGGTTCAAGGTTGGCAGATCTGAACTTTTGGTTCCTTCAGGCTAGATTCGTTCTATGGTAAGTTCCAACCAAAATGTTAAGTGTAGAATGTGTCCAACCTTGTTTAGAATCCTTCCTAAAGCAGTGTTCTTACCTAGTTCTTTAAAAATCTTCAAGTATGGTAAGTTTGAACGCCTTCCCAGTTCTGTAGTCCCTATAGAACTTGATAACTTATAGAATAAGTAATTTGAATTACAACTCAACTTGGATTTGTTATGTCAACGATAATTGCCAAAAATAAACTAATATCTCACAATCTCCCCCTTTGGCAATTTCGTGACAAAACCCTAAAAAAATTTTTTTGCAATCTACCCAAAGCAAAAAAGTAAATTACATTCATCGTTAAAAGGCAAAAATTAGATATATGATCACCATTCTTCTTGGATACTAGACTTGGCCTGATTCCTGCACACTATCAAGTAATAACTATTAGTGAAGTTTAGTAAATACAAATTTATAAAAACTCCCCCATAAGTATATATCAAAAAAAAATTGATTACCTATTCTCCCCCCCCCCCCCCCCCCCTTAATATCATACTGTATTATCTCCCCTTTTTTGTAACAAATTGACAAAGAACAGTAGATAAACATGAGAGCAGAAAAAGCATATTCCAAATAAGCATATACCAAAGTCATTGAAAGCATATTCCAGGAATATCCAAAAGTAAAGACAAGATGTGCAATAATTAAACAAAACATGATGTCGTGATGCATGAGAAAATAACATTAAAACCAACATCATGTCATCTCAACCACTCAAAGACAATAAACATCATCCATAGTCTTCACTACTCTCCCCCTTAACCTCATTCTCCTTATCCTCATCTGTATACTTATCCCCTTCCTCATCTTTTTCCTCATTTTTAGCTCTTAGAGATAGATCTGGAGGTGTAGGTCTGTATACATCTTCATCTAGAACTTCTAATGGTTGTCCTCTCAGCTGAGTTATCTATAGTTTAAGATCTCGGATCTCAACCATCATCCTATCAAACAATAAATTCTGATGCTAAAGTAGATAAGAATACATGACGTTGGCATCTGCTCTCGTGAATTTCCTTTTGGAGGAAATAGCTAAGTAATCTCTGAAATAAATGACGACCCCTCATCTACAGATCTCCTGGTTTTTCTAGCATTCTCCCGAGCAATCTTTGACTTGTTCAAAGCACGAGGATCCAACTTAGTCATGATAGGCTTATGATAAGCCCTTGGAGGAATCTGCACATTCTTCTGTTTGAGAATTTCTATGATGATCATTGGAAACGGAGAAGAATACTTGCGAGAATTTTTCTAGTAATGAGCTATCATAAGCTGCACAATAGATTCTCCAAGCAGTATAGTCTCATTATTAGCAAAAAAATAAAGCACTTGTGCTCGCTCAAGAGATAGTTCATTTATTTCCAAAGTAACCCAGATTAGCCATAGCAAACAAGTTGAAGAAGGCAGTTTCATCTGTTAGAAACGAGCTGGAATACTATCTTAGTTTAAAGAAGAGTTCGGCACACATATCTTTGGAACAATCTTGGTAAAATCAAGACCCGTGACTGTCAAAGGCAGAGTATGTCCACTAAAATGATGACTGTCCTGAAGACTAAGGATAGTCTCAATATCCTCCTTTTCAACAATATAATCAACTCCAAAGAGAGAGACAATAAAGTAAGTGTCATGAACTTCACGGATATTAGCATAGAAATAGCTAATCATATTTGGACAATAATAGCCTTTGCCAAGCTTAGTGAAGTAAAGCCAATTATTCGATTTGATGTAGTTCACTAGATTGTACCCTGCTGTATCTTGGAGTTTCTGAAGACTAACATTCCTCTCAGTCTTTATTGGGCCGTCTCGGTAAATAGAGAGATACATCTTCGAAGCTTCTTCATTGTAAAAATAGGACTCAGCAAATTCAATCTTACCAATGCTAGAAACTGATGGATATCCCATTGGAGCCGTGTTAGGTGCTTATGAACCACTTTGAGGTTCTTGAATGAAGACCTTTTTGGTGGTCTTGGATTTGCAATTCCTTTCCCCTTTGCTTCTTTAGTCAATTTAGGAGCCATGTTCTTTAGAAAATATTTCACTTTAAAGCTTGTAACTCTTTCAAGAATTTTATCAAACAGTTGGTGTGCAACCCAAAAAGTGTTGATAGAATAGCTTGATTTCTTCTTCAATTCGCCTAAAAATTAAACAACAATCTGAAACATGTATTCCCCAAGCATAATGAAGCTTTAATCTCTTCAATCAACACAACAACTTAACCAATCCTCTAAGTTTAAAACCCAAACTTCATGAAACTCATTGAAACCTATTTTTCAACTTTTAATATTCACAATCTTCTATTCTTGTCTTGAATCCTATATTATCATGTAATAATCATTTGTATAGCATGAATGAATGACAAAAATAAATGATATAATGCATATGGATATATATGTGTGAGTTGTGTAATGATATGGAGTGAATGAGAGCAAGAGAGATGAAGAGGCTTATGCAAAAATAAGGCCTGAAGCATTTTTTAAAACACAAACCCGAGCCCTTGAACAGGTTCAGCCCTCTTGAACCAGTTCAAGAAGGACAGTGCACATTTGTGCACAAGACTTGAACCGGCTCAGCCATCTTGAGCTGGTTCAAGAAGGACAGTCACTTTAGGCTTGTCCTAATGACTTTCTTGAACCAGTTCAACCTCTAATAAACCGGTTCAAGACTCCCAGTCTTGAATCCTCAGAAAAATTTTATATAAAATATTTTAAATTATTTCTAGACAAAAAATATTTTAAATTATTTCTAGACAAAAAATATTTTAACACATCGGTGAATAAAACTATCAACAAAAACAAACTAAAAACCTAAAAATCAAAATCTTTTTGAATTTTCCAAATTTTTCATTTTATTTTTATTTTTTTTTATAAGAAAAAAAAATCTAAATCACCAATCATTAAAATCATCATGTCAACACATGATTCAAAACCCTTTTAAAGAATTTTTAAAATATCTCAGAGAACAAATATTTGACTCCACTAATTCTTCAAATAGTTTTAAATCTCAGAAAGTAATCACAACATGAAATCAA